CTAATGTTGCTTTTAAAGTTTTCCATATGGCTCAAATCCATTTCTTAATTTAATGAACTTCATGTAATCTCCTCTTAATTCTTTATACATTTGTATGCTATTCCGTACACGGTAAAATGAATCTTGTAGTTTCGAACTCCGGAATGCAAATGCAACCGCAGGTCAAGTTCAGAATTATTCGAAAATTGTAAAAGGCTTTTAAAACCAGCTATTCCCTTCCTTCAAGTATTTAATTTGAAGATTTAATTTTCTATAAAAGGAGTAAAAGTATGGATATTTTAAGCATGTCACTGATGAAAAGATTTGAATATACAAGAACATCGATGCTCAGTGAAAAAAAGTCTTGCCACGTTGGCATTCACTTTTTAGAGTAAGTACTTTTCGCGGGTAGCCAGAAAGAATTTCGTATATAAGCCAGAATCCTGAAGTAACTGAAGTATCGTGGGATTATGCTGTATGTTGATTAATGTTACAACTCTTCTTTTGGAACAAATCCCTTGCGCGCTAATTATTACTGAGCTAAGGGTTTGAACTTCACCTTAAATCTCTAGATAATGTGCGTAAACTCACACTAGCCTGTCCATTAACTGTCCTAATTATAAATCCTAATTTCATCGTAATTGTAGTTGATTGCGCTGAGGTATGGATAACTTCAAATGAGACAACGATGGTTATGATCGTCACAAAATGCCGATACATATAATTGAGAAAGAACAAGACGGATTTTGCGCTGCATCAAGGGCGTAAGATCCACGTGAGGGCAGGGAAAACCCTATTGTCCAAGACTATTTTTAGCATGAACATTCGGTTGACCGAATATAATGCCAGAGGTCTTACCAACCAAACGCGGTTAACCAACGTGTGGGCTGTGCTTCGACCGTTACACACAGAGATATTTGTTCTTCAGCCTGTTAATTAAATTCGACTCTCGAATGCTGCACGAGACTTTGAAATGGGGACAGTGCATTTTCCGAGGTTTGCACGTTCTGTCTCCAAGTACGTAGGGCCAAACAGTGAGAAAACATAGGATTTGGACCTCTTTCGAGTTTAAATTTTCACGATGTTTAGATAACACGGTCGAATCCCCTCGGCAGATACCAAAAGGCCCACAATATGATTTTGTCTTGTCCACAAGCTTGGAACATTCAAAGAGATGGGGTGGTGGACAGTTGAACGCAGTAAACATGACTCCAGCGCTTTTTCAATTGTTTTGCCTTTTTTCACTTCATCAACCGGAATGTGTGGTTAAGCCCTTGCTCACAATTTTCTGACTGGCCTCCTAGAATCCAAGTCAAGTGCAATTGTCACTTTAACCACAGACTGGAAGTCTGTATTCTCCCTACCTAAGTATTTCCGTGCGATCCCTGTGTGGTCTGATTTAAATTGTCTGTTGGGCTGTAGAATATAGGTCCTCCAGAAATCGCAAGGTAGAGGGCATATTGCCAGAAGACTGAAACTGTAGCAGAAGCCTTGCGTAGTCCGCGATTTTAAGATTCCGTGCTTACTTTTGGGGAGATTGTGAGCATCCAGTAAATGATCCACGAAATTCTTAGCCCACACCTAACTGAATACCATCGATTACAAATGGAATTTAACGGTTCGCGGGACGTATAAGGATGTTGAGCCGTTGCAGTAAAAGAAT